GGAGGCCGCCTCCCGCCCCTCCCCGCGCGGGCGTCTCCACAGCCACCCGTAGACACCACCACCTGAGGCGAGGATGCTGCCCAACCCCGAATTGCCCCTGCTTCCACCATCCTTCCCGAAGCTTTCTCCACGAGGCGCAAACCCAGGGAAGGGAGGCAGAGCAGAGAGAGAAGGGGTCCACATGCAGATTCCCTCACGCACACGCCCTCCGCCCTGCCGCTCCCGGCCGTAGCCCGCGCCCCGCAGCCCTTTCCCGCACAGGCAGCCAGGCCCGGGGGCGGAGCGCCGCCGCCGCTCACCTGCCGGGCCGCGAGCGCCGGGGCTGCGGTGGCGGGCCTGCCGCTCTGCGCGTCCACGCCGGCCACCTGCGCCACCAGCTGCCGCAGAGGAGTCTCAACGGCTCCTAACACAGCCGCCGCTGTCGCCGTCCCTACGCCGCTCCCGCGCGGCTCCCGCTCGGCGCCCGCTTGCGCTGGGGTGCAACCATCTGCTCCCCGATGTGGGGGACGCGGCTGCAGCCCCGGAGCCTGAGTGGCTCCAAAGCGGAGATTCCGAAGACGCTAGACCCACGGGTTCCCTTTGGACTAACAGCGGCATGCAGATGGAGAGAGACACGGACGTGAAGGAACGAAGGAGCCAGAGACAGGACCCGAGCTGTTGGCGGCTCCCCCTGCGGTTGGAGGAGTGGTCCAGCCCGGCCCGCCCCGGCTGGCGGCCTTGCGTGTGTATTTGTATGTGTACTGTATGTAAAAGGCGGGGAAAGAGGAAGCGATTGTTGTGGATCGGCTTTGGGGGCGGGCATCGAGGCCTGTAGCCTTGGGCTGCTCGTTAGAGAAACCCGCGGTCTAAGCTGTGTGTGCTCTCCTCGTTTCCCAGGATAGAGAGGATTTAAAGCTGTTCTAGCACGATTTGCATCATCCAAAAAAAAAAAAAAAAGCTATACAAAAAAACCATAGATAAAATTGGATCGTGAAGCACTGCAGCTTGTAGGCCTCTTGCACTTAGCTGAATGGGCCTTTCAAACCCCTTTTCCTTGAGATTGTAATACGAGAAAGCCCTATTTCTTTCATATTTAAGCACCAAGAACTGTTAAGAAAAATGCAGTCCTAATGAAATCAAAATGTGAAGGGTAGAAAACAATGACAGGAAAACCTAAGCCTGTTAGATAGGATGTGGGTTTGGGCCCGAACTCAATTTTAGCTGCATCTAAATTTCATTTCCCTACTAAAATAGTAGGTGGTAGAGTGGAGAAATGTTACCAAAACTCCAAGTATTTTTCAAGGAACTTTAAAGATTATTTTATTTTTGCTTCTTTAGCCAATGGATTGTTTAATATATTGGCATTATGCCCAGCCTTCTGATGTTAATTAATACTTTAATTAAAGCTACCTCACCAGTCTGATTTTATTTATCCATTTACATTCACCCAGATTCCCAATAAATATGTAGTAAATAAGAAGACATTTTGAGCATTAATAAGAATTAATCTTACGTTTTGTTTCATCCCTCATTGAACTCCCAAGAAAGTATCTGCTGTGTGTCAAGCCCCGAGTATCAGGCATACAGCTATGAACAAGGACAGACATTGCCTATTAAAACAGGCTGAAAATAGTTTTTTAAAAAACGTATGTATAGCTTTAGGCAAAGAGCTCCAACATGGGAATAAATGAAAAACTGAGTAGGCAAAAATTGAAAGTTTTTTTTTTTTTGAAAGAAAAACAATATGCCTTTACAAAAGAATGAAAGAGGACATTTCCAATGTAAAATGGCCTGCAAGGAGTCTCAAGAAACTAAATCATAGCTCAGCATTAGGCAGGGGGTTCCTTGTGGAGCAAAGAGAGAAACTGACTGGCAAGGGAGAGGGAGATGTTGGGCAGTGTCTTCAAGTTTCTCATCTTGAAATTAAAGTCCATATGTTGTATACCAGGGAGCTACCACAGGCTGCAGGACAAGAAAGGGGTAAAAATGATCCTTTAAAAAGTTATTCTTGGCCAGGGATTTAGCTCAGTGGTGCTGCTGCCTGCCTTGCAGGCTCAAAGTCCTGAATTCAATCCCCGGTACCAAAAAAAAAGTTATTCTTGCTGTTTCAAGGTAGAGAATAATAGCTGGAGAAACTGTAGTACTCACTAAGTGACCCATTTATGTGAGACTGATGGCTATGAAGAAGGTAAGGAAAAGTGTAACAAATTACACAGAAGAATAATTGTCACGTGTTGGTCCCAAATCATGTGTGAAAAGCCAGGTGAGGTGAGCGCTCCTATAATCCCAGCACTTGAGCGGCTGATGCAGTGGGATTGCTGTGAGTTCAAAGCCATCGTGAGCTGCTTAGTTCAAGGCCTTGGTTTTGCCACCTGTTGTGCAAGCACAAGGACCCGAGTTCGATCCCTGGTACCAAAAAAAAAAAAACAAACTTAGTTCAAGGCCAGCATGGACTACATAGCAAGAAAAAAATTTAAAAATAATCATTCACAAGAAAAGGGGCAAAAAGATATGTTGAAGAAACTTCGAATATACTGAATGTTAGAAACCAAGGCATCATCCTATGTCGTTTTTTGTGTACCTCCTTTGTTTTAAACCCTTTAATTGCAATTCCAAGTGTGGTCGGGGCCCAGCAGCCTCCTTGCTGTTTGTTAGAAGCTCAGTCCCTCCTCAGAGCTACTGAATCATAATCTGTGGTTTAACAAGATCCCCACATTACAAGTTTGAGAAACTGCTCTAGGAGTGCTACTATGTGGACTGTCAGAGCCTAAGATCTTGTGGGGAAGACAGGCATGTGATAGATAAATTATAACTAATATTTAAAGATAACTTTATTAGTACTAAATTACCATAGCAACAAGTAAAAAAAGGGGGTGCCTATTACGAGGGAGTTCTCAGGAAATGAAAAATAGATACTGGTATGTTAAAATCAATTATTGATAATTGATGTGTTAGTGTTGAACTAAATATGGTGCTTAGCACTTGCTGTCTATAAATTTTGGCAATTTCAACTCGTGACAATCTGTAGACAATAAACAATAAATCAAGGAAATCGGAAGGTAGTTTAAGCCGCAAGAGAACAAAAGCCCAGCATCTCTGGGTGCAGCAGTTGTGACCCTGAGTCCGAGGGGCAGGGGCAGAGGAGAGGAGAGGAGGTGGGGAGGCAGAGGGAGCATCCTGTCACTTGAAGAATTGTGCTCCCCCAGCCATGCTTGGTACAGTACACCCTTCCCCAATGGGGAAAAAATGTACAATTTCCAAATCAGGCGATCCGGAGAACCAGGCCACCTAAACGTGTGGAGGCAGGAGCTTGACCCATACATTCTCATGTCATCAGTGTTACTGTCCCTACTATACAGAAGTGCAAACAGGCTCACAGAAGTTAAGCAAGCTGCCCAGGATTACGTGCGCAGGCGAGTGGCCAAGGCAGCCTTCCACCTCGTTGGGTTCTCACAGGCATGGCTTCTTGTGACCCCACACAGCCTCGAGGTGGGGCAGGGAGGCAGCAAGGCGGAAGGCTGGATGGCTTTAAATTAGAAAAAGATTCTGGAAGTAAAAGCTGCCATGTACTTTTTTTTTTTTTTTCCTGAGACTGTTTCACTATGTAGCTCAGGGTGTCCTTGAACTCACTGTGTAACCCAGGCTGGCCTCAAACTCGTGACAATCCTCCAGCCTCAGCTTCCCCAGTGCTGGGACGATAGGCATGCTCCAGCTCAGTACTCTTATTCCAATTTTTTTTTTCCCATACCAGAGATTGAACTCAGGACCTTGCGCTTGCCATGCAGGCGCAGTGCCACTGAGCTAAATCCCCAGCCCAGTACTCCTATTCCAACTTCAAATATCCTAATAATTTCCCTATACCCTACCCTATTCCCCAGCTTTCCCTCACTACCAGCTCATTCTGTTTACCTCTTTCTGGACCTAAAGGACTCAACCCATAAATCACATTCTGGAAAGGCTCGCACCTTAACTTCCAATGTCCTAATTTCTTACAGTCTTTTCTACTTAGTCTTTAAACTACTTAAAAGTCGGTACTATTTTATTCATCAGTGCTGCCCTTTGCTAATATTCAATTCAAAAAAATTCTTTCAATAAATATTTATTTAACAAATGAGAGGAAGGAGCAGGTGATAAACTCTGAGTCCTAATCACTTAGGCTAAGGAAACAGATAAGAAGACACATGAAGGTACTTGTTTTGACTTTATGAATTTTTCATGTACATAAGGTTAACCCTTTAAAAGCACTAGTTTTTTTTGTTTTTGGTTTTTTGGGGGTCTTTTTTTGGTACCGGGGATCAAACTTGGGTCCTTCCGCTTGCGAGGCAGGCGGTGGAACTATTGAGCTAAATCCCCAGCCCTAAAAGCACTAGTTTTACAAATACATTAATACATTAATTTCAGTGGAAATCTTACTAAATGAAATTTCATGCTTATGATAGACTTAGCAGTGATATTCCATTCATATTTTTTATATTCTGTATCTTTTTATTTTTATTAGCAAATGTTTGCAGAACATAATGATTACATTCATCGTGGGGGATAATTCCCAATCTTGATACACAGTATTAGTAACACACCTTACACTTAATGTTGTTTACAGTAATTATTGATCTGCATGTGTGTGTGCACATGCACGTGTGTATGGCAGTAGGGATCAAACCTACCACTGAGCTACATACCCAGACCTTTTTATATTTTGACACAGTCTTGCTAAGTTACACAGACAGGACTTGAACTTTGAATCCTTCAGTCTCAGCCTCCCAAACGCTGGGATTACAGGTGTGTTCCACTTACCCTCATCATGGGGAAATAGTGAAAAGTCAGAAAGAATATAGGAAAAATAAAAAGCATTACTCCAAGAGCTATTTCCATCAGGCTGAGATGTGATAAACCAGTCTAGGCCTTCCTCCTCCTAAAAATCAAGGAGCCCATAAAGCCGTGGCTCTCAGGTGAGAAAAAACCGAGGTGTGTTGTCTTGTGAGAGAGTGACTGGTGTGCTCGTCCACTGGTTTACCAGTGTGCCAAAGAGAACTGTTTTCAGATTCACCTAGGGTCTGAGAAGTCTTACAATCTGGATGCTCTAGATAGGTTGTAAAGACGGACAAGGCAAGGACAGAGGCTCATAGGTGACCTGTGAACGCCTCTTGTGAAGGCTGCTAGCCTGTGGGCTATTCTAGTGGAATTAAAAAATCATTGCAGGGCCGAGGATTTAGCTCAGTGGTTCCACCACCTGCTTCACAAGTGCAAGGTCCCAAGTTCGATCTCTGGTACCAAAAAAAAAAAAAATCACTGCACACCCTGGTTGCCTCACCTCAGATTTTCAGTTTGCTTCTTTCTTACATCGGAAGTCCAGTTTCAATTAAGGTGCCTCCTACTCCACATGTTGGGGTATTACCTCCTCTTTATTCTTCTGCCT